TGTGTGTGTGTGTGTGTGTGTGTGTGTGTGTTAGGCATTGAACCCAGGGCTTCAGGCATCCTAGTCAAGCACTCTGCCAGCTGATCTACATCACTAGCCCGCATCATAATGGTTTTGTATATGCTACAGTCTGTAAAAGATGAAAAAGGAGCTCATTATGAAGTGTTTTCCAGAAATATAACTAGACATTTCTCTCAACAACTAGGAAGCATTTGTAGTGTGGACTTTGTGGACTTATCTCAGGGCATAGGTGTGTGTCACCTCATGGAATTTGCACAACTGTGGGAAATGCAGAGTAAGGAATTCTCAAGAGTACCCAGAAATCACTATGCAAGACTGAGCTCATGCTTCCCCGTCTCTCTGACATTGGTTCATGATGCAACACATGACTTCCCAGTGTATTTGGCTCTGAAAAGAGGGTAATAATTTCATAATCTTACACAATCCTGATCTGCTGGAAGATTGTACTAAGTTAAAATAATTAGCCTTCACTGACTGGCTACCATGTGTTGACATTATCTCAAGTTCTTAATATGTATCCAATTAATTTCATCCTCATATCAAATCTGAGATAGAGTGCTCATTTTGTAGATAAAGAAAGTAAAGTTAAATTACTTGTTTATCTAATGCCACAGCTAGTCAGGGAAAGTCAGGACCTGAGCCCAGCTCCAAAGGTCACATATTATACATAAAACATCTTGTAGTTATTTTCATTTAGTTCATCAAGGAAACAGTAAATTAACCACCAACATGCATCTAAAATGTAATGAAATATTCCTGGTTAAAAAAGTCAATGATTACTAGGGAACCTGCATGGGACTGACCTGCATACATGGGACAGTGGTGTAGCTTGGTCTTGGGGGACACCTAACAGTGGCATCAGGGGCTGCCTCTGATTCTTTTGCTAGCTCTTGGGACCCTATTCCTCAGCCTTGCCCAGCCTTAATACAAGGGGAGGTGCTTAATCTTACTGCAAGTTGATATGCTATGTTTTGTTGATACCCATGGGAGGCCTCCCTTTTTCTGGATAGAAATGGAGGAGGAGTGGGTGGGGGCAGCAGAGGGGAGGTGGGGGGAGGGAGGAACTGGGAGGAGAGGGAGGAAACTGTGGCCAGGATGTTTAAATAAATCAATTTGGTTTTTTTTTTTTTTTTAAAAAAGTCAGTGATTTCATATTTACTGGTATTTTTGTGTATGCATATAGAAACTAGAGGTTGATATGGGATGTCTTCATCAATTGCTCTCCATTATATTTTTTAAAGATTTATTTATTTATTTTGGAATTGTTTTTGCTTGTTGTTTTTTGAGATTAGACTATAGTCACATTTCTCCCTTTCCTTTCCTCCTCCCTTCAGATCCTCTCATACACCCCTCCCCACTGTCCTTCAAATTCATGGCCTCTCTTTTCACTAATTGTTATTGCACACACATATGTATATACATCTATGTTCCTAAATAAAGCCTGTGTAGTCCATACAATGTTACTTGGATGCATGTTTTCGGGGCTGACCATTTGGCACTGGACAACCAGTTGGTGCACTCTTCCCTGGGAAGACCATCTCTCCTCCTCCCAGCTTTTTAAAGTTGCCTATAGTTCTTTGTGCAGGCTTGAGGCCTCCCTGTCCACTCTGTCACACCCATTGGCGTCACCGACTCCTGATTGGGCTATCATACTGGTACAACGTTACGAGTGTAACTTCTAATTTTACCCGGAGACACAATCTCACAGCTAACTCCCTGTAGTTCTGGCTCTTACAGTTTTTCTGCCCCAATATTCTCCGAGTCTTAGTTATGGGAGTGTTTTGTAGATGTATGTAGATGTTTTGGGCTCCACAACTCTGTATTTTTAAGATTTCTTATTTTTAATTGTGTTTAAATATGTGTGTCTGTGTGTGGGTGTGTGAAAGCGAGTGCAGCGGTCCACAGATGATGAAGAGGGTGGGACTGGATTGCAGCTGGACTGCGCTGCCTAACATGAGTGCTGGAAGCAAAACCTGGGTTCTGTGAAAGAGCAGTATGTGCTCTTAACTGCTGAGCCATGTCTCCAGATCCTTTATTTTTTGAGAGAGTCTCTCACTGAACCTGGAACTTAATGATAGGCTAAACTGCTGACTAGCCAGCTGCGGGGATCTCAATGCTGGGATTACAGGCGTGTGCTAAGGTGCATGGACTTTACCGAGTGTGAGGACTGAGCTCAGGTCCTCATGCTTGGGCAGCAAACGCTTTACCAAGTGAGTGTCTCCTCAGCAGCCCCTTTTTGTTATGTTTTATAACATAACAATTGAGTACCTCTTTCACGAAGTTAAACTTTGACTTATGTATCTCAGGAAAAAAAGTCTAATCAAATTTGATGTACTATAGGAAAGAAATAATTGTAAAATATTAGAAGAAGCAAGAATTTTCATTTCCTTGTTCACAGTTGTGCAAATAATATCCTGAAACAGGACATGGTGACACATTCCAGCACTTGGGAGATGGAGGCAAGGGAATCGTGAATTCAAGGTCATCTTTGGTTACACAGTCAGTGCAAGGCTAGCCTAAGATACAGGAGACTGTCTCAAGCCAAAAACA